ATCAAATTTCAGATCGTAAAGAAAGACTGCAAGGGGTTTTCAAGTTTCTAGTCTCACAATGAGATTGAAAAAAACGTCAAAAGTGCAGGGTCCGTGTTACGGCTGGAATCTGGACTAGTCCGTAGAGAGCGTTCTGGTGTTCTATGTGTTTCCGCCTACGTCATTGCGAAAAAAATACATGCTATTATTTCATTTCCATACGGTGCTGCTCAAGGATAACATGCTCCAGCTCACGACCATCATGCCAACGTATTTACCGCAAAACCGCCGCTTGCGCTCCGCAATCTACGGCTAGTCCGTGCGGTCAACGACTCGGCGATACATGGCAAGAATCTTGGGATGAATTAGATATCCGTTCAATTCTAATCTGACAGCAATGCATCTCCAATTTCCAGACGACGTTCAGGAAAAAGAAATGAAACACGATCAGCGCGCACATTTAGCTTTGATAATCATCAGAGTTCTAAAGATAAACACCAGGTTTCTCGATATCACAGAACTGTTTTAGTGAAAAATAACGTCGAAAGTTGTTGCAACACGAGATTGAAAGCTCCTAATTCTGAGCTTCAAATGCGAGCAACATCAAAAAAGCTCCTTTCTAAAGATCTTGGATCATTTTTCTGCGTATGTGAAGTTAGAATCCGATGGTATCCCACGTACAGCAATCAGTATCGCTGTGTTGAGAATACTTACGCGAAATTCATGATGATCTGATTATGAGATTTTGATTTCACTAGGAAGCTCAAGGTCTGAAAATGAACGCACTGAGGCGAATGAGATGGATATGGAAATGCAAACACTGAATATGTGCGAATGAGATGGATATAGAATGCAAACATTGACTATGTGATTGTGAAGGATAACTGAGCGAGATCTCCATAATGTCGATGGAAGATTAGGCTCACATTTGTGAAAAAAAACGGAAACTCGCAGACTGAGTGCTGAATCTGAGAATACAGTGAACACTGGAGATACAAAGCTCATGAAGACGATAGCCCATCACAAATGTGTTTTGCACTATCCGACAAGCGTTTCGTAAAGCTGCAAAGCTTATTACTGTCTGAGAATTGTGGAAGTTCATGATCGCGAAGCTACGATGTTGGATCAAAGCGCAAGGACAAGAAAATTGCCCGCCTCCCCCTCATAATTGGTGCAAAAGCCATC